GGATGACACAAGAGCAATTTCCCCTCCACTTATAAAAATCTGCATGCACACGTACATCCCATTCAGTTTAACAAGATCTGAATCCGGCGAAGGCACTTGCAATTGGGAATTCTGCATGGAAGTTATTTTGACGAGACAAAATAACCCTGGAAGTTGAACTCTTGAAAATAACAAATATTTGATAGTATATAAAGCTGAGTGTTGATCTAATGCAGTACAAGCTAGGACGCTAACAGCTCCCCAGTAAAATTCGAAGAGGCCAGTGTAACAAGTTAGAGTGGAGATAAACTTCTTTTCAAAGGTAAGATGTACGTTCTTAAGGTAGATATGGACGCAACCTATTTAACAGTCACGCGAAGTAGCTTTTTAAATACTTAAGCTCTTCGTCAAAATAACTTTTTGAACTCAATGGGAAAACTATTAAAGACTGGTGATAAATTTTAGCCTTTTTCTCTCGCTTTAAAACATATTTACACTGAATCAGTTCAGAAAAGTAAAGGTCCCGCGGAAACAATAAAAACACAACTTGAATCAAAGTCGAGCTGCAAATTCCTGGGAATGACTGGGTGATGGGCACCGGTATCCTTCAACAGGCAGAACCACCAGAGCCTAACATCACGAAGGATATGCGAGATGCACTTAAAAGCCTGAGAGAAGACGGGTCCATTATGGTTCTCCCAGCAGACAAAGGGCGCGTTGACGTAGTCATGGATACCGACACCTACCGAGCCAAGTGGTCTACGCTTATTGAAAACGGACCGTAACAGCTCCTCAACAAAGATTCGACAGATCGTTTGACCCGCAAGATGTCAGAAAAGCTGCTTACCTTGAAGCGAAGCGGATATCCACCAGAGGCCGTTTACAACAAGATCAGACCCTGACGCAAACAGTCGCCTAGAATTTACGGTTTACCGAAGATACAAAAGACCGATGTACCGCTAAGACCTATTGTGTCGTGCGTAAATACCATTGCATATGATTTATCCGCTTACTTGCCAACATCTTGTCTCCTTTAACAGGAAAGTCAGAGTACACGGTGACCAATTCAGCTCACTTCGTACCCACCGTTAGCAATGAGACGATCCTAGACAACGAGATCAGGGTATCTTTCGACGTAGAGTCGCTGTTTACAGACGTTCGTATCGACGCCGCTGTACAAGCCGCACTGCAGAAACTCGAGAACGACCTTAGCCTTGCAGACCGCACCACGCTAACGCCTGCACAAATCACTGACCTTTTGACCTTCGTATTGAGATCCACACTTCCAGTATAACGGACCGATTTACGAGCAAAAAGACGGCGCCGCCATGGGGAGTCCTGTTTCCGCTGTTATTTACCTCTACATGGAGAGTTTCGAAGAACAGGCGATAACTACAAGATCCTACGAGCTTAGGATTTGGAAACGCTATGTGGACGATACCTTTACCGTCCTGGATCGCGAAAACGTGGATGACTTCTTACAGCATCTAAACAACCAGCAGCCTTCCATCCGCTTCACCATGGAGACAGAGAAAGACAACAAACTCTCCTTCCTAGATACTGCAGTTTTAAGAGAACCTGACGGCCGCCTCACAACCAGCGTATACGGGAAGCCCACGCACGCCGATCAATACTTAGCATATAATTCACACCACCCTCAATCAGTAAAACGCGGTATGGCGTAGTTTACAGGATTCTCTGTGAATGTGGCAAGGTGTACATCGGAGAGACTGGAAGACCTATGCAAGACAGAATTAAGGAGCACGATCGAGACATCCAATTCGCCTGTACCGAGACCTCCGCCGTTTCAGAGCATGCCCACAACACCGAACACAAGCCACTCTGAAACGAAGTAAAGTTTATTGATCGTGACCCTTATTACTACACGCGCAAGGTCAAAGAGGCAATTCAGATGAGACTTCACCCTGACAACATTAACAGGGATAGTGGAATAGAAATTATAGAAGCGTGGATGCCCACGATCAAAAAACACAACAACAGGAGAGCCGTACGACAGCGGACCGCCGAGGGAACAAATCATTGGGTGAAACAGCAAGGATCGAAATGCACCAATCGGAGCTGTTGAAAAACAACTAATCACAGCAGAGCATCATGCTTTATAAGATCACGCATGACCAGTCGACCTCATCGCCTGAAGAAGACTAGCAGTATGCAGTCGAAACGTCGCGATCTACATCACACGTGACTACATTGTGAGACAAACGAAAAACTTAGCTTTTATTGTTATTCACCACGATGAATAACCACAATCTTTTTTAAGAAATGTGCCGAGGTTTTCTAGAAATTGCGTGTAATGAGGAAATGGAAAACTTAATTCAGTCTCTAAGCTTCAGGTGCCTGCGGAATATACCTGATTATGGGTTTGCAAAATGCTTCCCACCAAAATATCGATGGGTGACGTTGAGTACTGGCGAAAGAGTCAAGCAAACGGTCAACTGTGGATGTAGAGAGAATTGAACTATTCATGATATTTTGGTATTAATCATAAAAATTACGATTTCCTTGATTGTAATTGGTCAGAAAAATTCCTATTTTTCACTAATTCCCTTGCCAAGTTGTTATAGGACAATTTGTTATCGGACAGTTCAATAAGGAAATCACATTCAAAGTTGTAGTTTATATCAACCAATCTCAACCTTGATTTCAATCACGATGGAAACAGTACTGTACAAACTCCTAAATTGTAGCAAATTTTACTCTTTTTTTTCATAACTTAGCTATTCCTCTTTTTTCGGAAATTTCAGTTTTTATGATTATTTAGTTAGAAGACTTCGTGTCGTCCGACTCGGTTTGTTGTCATACTCGTGATACTCAGTATCTTATTCAATCTTATTCATTTTAGTTATCAGGAAGTCAAGAGTGCAATCCCATAGCAATTGAGATATGCAGTTATTGTTTATATGTTATGAAATGATGTAATTTTGTTTAGAATTTGACTCTGTATTTTTCTTGGAAACTCAAAAATGTGAATTGTTTGATGAATTATTTTGTACCGATATAACCTAAGTATGGTGGAAATTAGACCAATGAAGACAAAATAAATTTGAAATGGCAATGCACCTCTCTTGATATATTATTTCAAGGTTCAAAAAATTAGTTTCAATTTACTGAACTGATCACTGCCATCCGAAACATGCGTGCCTGATCCCACCTGCTCCAAAAAGTAATATATCTAATTAGTTAATTACGCTTAATAGGTGGCAAAACCTGTTAATCTATTCTGTTGCGTTTATTGTTATCCGTGAAAATCTTTTTTTTTCCTTATCAGCTAGTAAAGTGGCTGAATAAACTTCAATGCAAGTCATTTTGTAAGACAAGAGTAATGTCATCAACTGCGCGCATGTAGTTTTGAAAACCCCCTGGCGCTCGATGAACCGGGAAAAGACCCAGGGAAAAATTGTAGTCTGCAGGAAAATCAAAGTTTAAAAATGTGCCATAAGTCAATCGACTTATCTCCCCTACGTTAGAGTATATTACATCATACTTTTCGCAGTGAATGTAGGCAAATATTAGTTATAATAGGAAAACCAGTCAAACCATTCTCTTCCACATTTATTGAGCATAAACATGATCGAGATTTTTTTACAAGGTTCATAAATAACAGAGCATGAACTAAAATAAGCTTTAAAAAACCTTCGCTCTTTCTTTCTGTGCGAACAAAGCTCTTATGATTTTTCTTGTTCGTGTTTTCTTTGCTTAAAAACACTGTTTTGATAACTTCTTTCACAGAACAAGGTTTTTGAGTTATGAGCATTTCTTCCTTTAGATGACTAGATCACCGTTTTTATGGCAATTTCTGTTTTGAAGCAAAAGCTTTATCAATAAGCATAAAAGTACGCCTTTTAGCACGCACTGATTCCAATAAAATTGAAGTGACTGGAAGTCAATTGGCTCTCTTCATTTCATTTAGTTGACCGCAAAATGTTGCAACTGTACAGTTTTGACCATCCAGCCTCATTCAAGAATCTTTTTGAATTTCGTATGATTTTGATGCATCTTTTTTCAAGTGTCATGTAATTATCGGAAGTTGCTTTGTTGAGAAATTGCCTAAAATAGCATGACCTGGCCATTTGACTAGGAAATCGTCGATTCATCAAACCCCCAAGGCTTAACTCAAGCTATCGTCATGTAGTTTCTCTTGCTATTACCTCTTTATTTTTCTTATGACCGATCATAAGATGTCGCTTTACCTCACCCATTTATCACATCTTCACGGCCTTCAAATTATTGTATCACCATAATATAAAAAAACATTGAATCCAAAGGCACGAACGATTGTATAGTTTCAAACTATGAATATAGTTGTCATAAACTCGTTGGCTGTTAAATGAGAAAAACGTTACATAATGAATGTTATCAAAAAACAGTTTTAAGTCAAAATATAAAAATCACCCAACACCACCCCAAAAAATTTAAGAAAGCTTTGCTGTTTTCCTAAGTTGGTGAAGTCCTCCATTATGTTTGTTAACAAGCATAGTAACAACTGGTCTAATATGCCTAATCAATTGGTAAATATAAATGCAAGTCTCAGTTTTAGTAATAGTAGTAGTAGTAGTTGTTGTAATTGTAGTAGAAGTGGTCGTAGTCGTCGTCGTCGTCGTCGTCGTCGTAGCAGTAGTAGTGATAGTAGCATTTTAGATTTCGTCTACACGAATTCTATCGCAACTTCTTCTAGAGATTAAAGTAGTACTTGGCCTCCGTAAGTGAGTCGAAAATAATTAAGGAGGCGAAAGTACCACTCAATACACTCAAATTTATTTGCTGGATCCTCTATACTAAGATTACCAGAAACGCCTGTAAATAGTGCTAAATTCTTCCTCCCTCCTCGTTTTAGCCCCATCTTTAGCTTTCAATTGTTTATTGAGAGCAACTGTTAAGATTTAAAAGAAAGCCTCCCCTAAAAAATCTACTTCAGATGATAAAACCCATTTAAATACGTTTTGCAAAAGAAGTAAATGCCTTTTTTAATTTGCAAGGCCCCGACTCAGAAACAACAGCAATTTTGCTATGAAACGTCATAAGACATATCACTTTGAAATGTAGGCAACGTGTAAAGCCCGTGGACTTACTGACTGCCACTTGTTGTTACTTCCTCCCCAGCCATAATGAATAAAGAACTCGGTGTAGTGGTCAGTTTTCCAATCACAGACTGTCTTAGTCTTTCTCCAAAACCACCATCCAGTTTTCTTCTTCTGGCAATGGCGATAGGTTGTTGATTTCGTTGTGAACTTCGTGGCGACTGCAGCGTGGCCGGCCTTTTTCTTTCCGTTGTCGACATAAAAACTAAAGACCACGGGATAACCATATTTTAGAAACCAGACACCTTTTGACACCATCCAAGAGCTTTTTCTCCATGGCCGGTTGTAACCTTTGACCACTGCTTTTGATCCTTGTCGTTCTTTAAACCATGGTTTGATACGGTGCATGTTGCGAAGTTTTGTTGATCCCTGACCTCCTTCGCATCGCGTTCGGAGATATGGTCGAAGGCTTTCTACGAAGACCTTTACTGCACCTGTCAATTGCAAAGGTGCCATGGTGCTACTATCTCCAAAAATTCTTGAACTGAACATAGAGTTATACTTGGAGATCCTGTCGAAGTACCCGAACACCTGAGCCCAGGCAACCGGACCACATCCACTGTAACAGCCACCACAGCACTTATGCTGGTCATAATCAGGGAACTCAGATTCATAGGAAATGGAGCCTTTATTACCACCACTTGGAGAGCGCTGTGACCGCTTACGATGCAAATCAATTACAAAATGTCTACGAATCCGTTCGCTTTTCCGTGACATAAACTCGATGAAAAAGCCTAGTTCTTTCCATTGCAGAGCGTTTCCGACATATTTCCAGTTGCCGCGTACCACAAGCCTAATGTAAGCTATGTGATTGGCTGTCTTTGCTATGACAGAAAGATTGACCTTGGTATTTTCTTCCTGCAAGCAAATATCTACGAGTACCTTACAGAGTCTCTTCTGCCACTGTCCCCCCCTTTTTTCGTAGTTTGTAACAAAAATTCGCACAGATCTAAAGCCTTCACCAAGGGCTACTTTAGCGATGGAACCAGGGGTGAGAGGTTCTTCATAAGTTTCTTCCTCTTTTATTCTTCCACTTGTAAAGGTTTTTTCACTTGTGACCCAGTCTATTTTTGAACGCCTGAGAGCTGCTCGCTCTTTCCACTGTTGGGTAAATCCGGAAGGATTTTTCTTTACCATATTGTCCAACTTACGCCAATCATCAATCTGTTGCAATCAAGAAATGGGGACTCTTTACTTGTAATCAATAAGTATTATACAGTAAAAATTAATTTCGTAATTGGTTCTTTTATAGAAGCTGAAAAGATGAATTTCACTCATTTTAGGCAAATAGATCAATATTATTTTCATGCCAGAATTGTCTTACTTGTATATGCAGTCATCTTTTGATACGATAAACTGCCACATCTTAGTTTCCCAAACAGGAAAATCCTTTACAATTTATCCCGATAATACGGTACACAACAAAAGTGAGCGGGCTCAGGGCCCCCTTTAGTTAAATGAACCTGTTCTTGCCTTGTTTTAGTGCTACAGTCCACCAAAAATGTATTTGTGAAGGTTTCCCAGCCGATTCTAAAGATGAATTATGTATGGAATGAAGTTTCAAGTTTTTTTGTTTTATCGTTTGTAATTTTTTTTCTTTTCGTTTTGCAATTAGAATACCATCATGTATGGCTACATTCCGGTTGTCAAAGGTAAATAAAACGGAGCCAACAAGTTAAAAATTCAGTTTTTCTTTTCGAAGAGTGGCATCCCGGTTGACAAAGAGAACCTTTGTTGAGGGAGTATTAACGCGGTTCCACTGGCACTGCACATATTTCCACTGATATGACTTACCACTTCTTAAGCTTCACTTGGCTTATTGTGAGTACGTTACTATAGTTAGTCCGAAATCCGAAGGTCTATGTTTTAAAATCTTTACTTTTTTTTTTGTAACGCGCTCGTGAAAATGACCAACACATTTCTCTGGGAACATAATTTGTTGCGTTTCCTAAGGGTGTGAGTGCTCGCTTCTAGGATGCCAAGCAGCAGTAGGTACGTTGATGAGGGTCTTAATGAACGTGAGCACCGGTTCTTAGCCCACTGCTTTTATCTTAGGAGAGCCTCACCTCAGCAACATCATTCACCCAATCATAACTTGCCGCCACGATCGTTCCATTTTGATTCGAACAAATCATCAGTCCCCACGGTGTGAGCCGATAAAACTTCTTACACAGCTGACCATTTTTATGAGCTTGCTGCATTAGCACATCAGTTGGTCGCGGATCCGGGCCATGCTCTACCATTCTAAAATCTCCAGTTCTAGAACTGGAAGACAAGATGACATAGCTACGTCCGGTATCGATTTCGTAGTAAGCAACATAGTCAGGGTCGAGATCCAGTCGGTAGATAGGGCGAGTGGGACCACGCCCATCGGATACATTGACTCGTTTCAGATCTTTGAGGTCGTCAAGTTCACTTTCGGCCAAAATTGATTGTTGGACCTCGTATGGCAACTTTAAGGCGGCTGACCCGACCACGAGAATGGTACACAATGGAAACAGAACATGCCATTGTATGTTTTTATTTATGTTAACTGGGGCCATCCTATCAAAGAAATAAAATAACAACAATATCGTCAAGGAAGAGAAGAGGGCAAAAGAGAACGAAAGGATAAGAATAAAAGAGGGCAATAGGAGAAGAAGAGATTAGGAGAAGAGAGAGAGAGGGAAAGAGGGGAAGAGAGGAAGAGGAGGGGAA